GATCTAGCTGTATTTCTTATGTGCTTAAAAATTGACAATAAACAAGTTATAGAATCTAGAGAAGGAAATTTTTTGTCTACTCTTTCTACAATATAATGCATTTCCTGGATGCTGAAGACAAGGAGGGACATTTCCAGATAAGTAGAACCTAAGCCAATGGGCATTTGAGCTACAAAAAAGCACATTATTTTGTGGGTGCATGTTTTCCAGTTATGACATGTTATTGGTTCTGAATTTTTCATCTGCACCAGATTTTACTCATTCAGATGTCTTATTTATATTCTCTCTAAGGTCACTATTTACATTCGACAAATTTCATTTTGGATGTAGTTATTTTGGCGCACGAGAGATCTTGGTTATTTCATTGAGGCGATTATGGTTTTGGAGTTCGGGTTAACCATCAGAAGGTCAGGAAATGTTTATATTTGTACTTGGCTTTGCAAAATTTACTGAATAATCACTTTGAAGTGAAAGTCACTGGTTGCTTAGTTTGACTTATTCTTCTTGGTTAGTGAGGTGACCATGTTTGAGGGGGGGGGTTTAATGATATTAAAATAACTTTTGGCTAAAATTTTGGAAAGCTTTTTGTTTCAGCAGGGAGATATTAAAATAACTATTGGAGATAACATCTGTCTGTCTGCTCTTTTTGGCAGATATACATGGCAGTACAAAATCTTATTGTTGCACTTGTATTCATACTTTGGTGCCATTTCCTTGGCATATGAAAGGTAAGTTATGTGATTAAGAGAAAAAGCGTTACTTTGTCTCTGTAATAAAATATTCACTTTTTTGGCATGTTTCTAGGTACTCTATATGCACTTTGTCATCTTCTCTTGGTATTAAATTTACTCCTTTTTATCGTTTTAGGTATAAATCATTGGATGTGAAGAACATTTTGATGGAAACTGTTTCGCATCACATTTTGCCCCAGATGTTGGCATCTCCTCTGTGGGCAGACTTAAACAATCTGCTGAAAGATTACCTCAAGTTTATGGATGATCACTTCAGAGAATCTGCAGATCTTACTTTTCTCGCCTTTCGCCATAGAAATTACTCTAAAGTATGTATTTTACCTTTGTAGATACTGCTTTCAAATCTAAATTTCTTTCCGTAGACTTTTATCCGCAAAAAATGTGGAAAGGTTAAAGGGAAAAGCTGGGCAATAGACTCAGTGAGAGCAGTTCAAGTTGATAGTAGTTTGCGACTGCCTTCTTTGGTGCCAATACTTAATATTAGTCATTGATGTTATGTTTAAAATTATCAACAGAGGAAAAAAGGACATACAGATAGATTTAACATTGTCTGTTGCAAAGTAACATGGATATATAGAAAAACTTTATGCCTGCAGGATGATGAAAATTCTATTTACTTTCTGGCCAACTTTTTAATATGCTGGTCAAATTCATGTGTTGCTGCCTGCAAAGTCAACTAATGAATCTTTACGCCGTATATGTACAAGAGTTTCTCATTTAATGGAATCCACCCTTGGAGCTCTCCTTTTGCTGAAAATAAAATATTGTGAACCTGTTGTTTCTTGAATTTGCAGAAAATTCTTGCTTTTGTTTCATAGACAGCTTATTTTGTGGTGATGATGTCAGCTTTCTATCATTGTCCTCGCTATGTTCAGGATGTAAAATTTTCCTACAATGTGAAACAATTTGTTCAGGTCTATTGTTGTAGGCAGTAGATGTTACAGGATAAAAGAGAAAGCAAAGATAAATTAATTGTTGGAATGAGATTTTAGTATATGAACTGAGGAAATGTTTCTTACCTTGTACTCCAGGTAATAGAATTTGTTCAGTTCAAAGAGCGGTTGCAACATTCCAATCAGTATTTGATGGCGAGGGTTGAAGCATCAATTCTACAGCTAAAGCAGAGTGCAGACAACATTGAAGAAGAGGAGGTAGTGTTTTTGATTGAAACCCTTCAGGAATTAACATGTACGAGGTTTTGCTGTATTGGGAACACATATGACATTACTATTTCTTCTTCTAGAGCATTCTTGAGAGCTTGAAATGCGGGATTGACTTTGTAGAGCTATCAAATGAGATTGGATCAAAATCGCTGACCTTCAATGAAGATTTCCAGTCACGACCTTGGTGGACACCAACTACAGAGATAAACTATCTTTTAGGTCTGTGTAGAACATGTTGCATGGTAATATCTGATTGGTTTATTGCCCATTATCTTGTTGATAGCGTTTTAGGTCTTCCTTTTTAACCCCTGATGTATTCCTCTGGTTATGTTCATTGATCCATTTTGAAATTTTTGCTGCAGGTCCATTTCAAGGAATCTCCTACTATCCTAAAGAAAACTGGGTACTAAACTCTGCCCCCAATTTTTACACTAGACTCCTAGTTTTGTATAAGTTTTTACTGTCGAAGGAATTTATTTTCTGTGATTTTTTAATCTTAGTGTCTCTTTTGTTGATCACGTTTAGGCAAAGGAAAGGGAAACAAGTGTACGGGGAATAATTGAGAGGAAGTCTCTTCTTCCTCGGATGATATATTTATCTATTCAAAGTGCATCAGTCTTATACAAGGATAGCATTGACACAAATGGTTCTCTAGCTGATCCTAAAACGTCATTAGAACTGAAGTCTTTGCTTGATCGCTATGCAAACTGCTTGGGTTTCCTTAAATGATGCGATAGATGTGGTTATGGGAGTTTCCCGTGGGCTGAAGCCTTATGAGGTATCTGTTTGACTGTATGCATATCCTCAATTATTCGATGCTCGTGCATTCTAATTGTTGATAGATCATATGTTTGGTTTTACTGTTTAATAATTTGCGCCAATGAGATCATTTACTGAATGTTATCCTTGTCAAGATATGCTTATTCGTATAGATATAAAGATTTAAAAATTCTTCCTTTGAAGTCGATACATGCTAGGATTTGTTATTTTTTTGGGTATACATTTTTCTTGTTACCAATAGAAAAGATGCTTATGAGCCTTCATTTATATTACCAAGAGGTTGGTGATTGAATCAGATATTGATGCCCATACTTCTGAAGTATCACAATGTTAATCTCCTTGTGCAAAACTAATTTTGAGGATTTGTACAGGTTTTTGGTTCAGATGTTATTGATTGGTTGAACTTTGCCATATTCTTCAATGCATGGAGCTTTAATTCTAATGAATTTGGACAGCGTGAAGGCAAATGTACACATGTTAGTTGGCATCTCGTAAATTCTCTACTGGAGAACTACATTCTGAGTAAGTTGAGATCCATGGGTCCTCTGATTCAGTCTCCACAGGGTGATTTACCTATATTGGTCCAAGTGGTTACCGAACCATTGGCGTGGCATGGTGTTGTGATTCAGTCTTGCGTCCGCTCGTGTGTGCCATCTGGAAAGAAGAAGAAGAAGAGTGGTTCTACAGATCAGTCTCTCTCTTTGTTATCTCATGCAGTTAGGGATGCTATACAGAGTTTATGCAGCATATTAGAAGAGATTGTGAGATGGTCGCAAGATCAGATAAAGAGCCCAGAGGACAACAAGATAGACATCTTGGTGTCACTTAAGACAAATGGACAGAATGGAGGAGGACCCGGACATGTTTTCCACATTTTGGAAACTTTGGCATCTTCCCCAAATGAGGCAGAGCTCGGGAATCGGATATCGCAGGCTTTAAGAGCTTGGAGTCCGGTTGATGTGGGAAGGAAAATAATAACTGGACAGAGTAGAGTACTCTCTGAATTTTGCCGTATTTGTGAATCAAAAATAAAGTCACTGAAATCTTTGAAGCAGCAAATAGCGCAGGTGTGACAATGGATAATGCAACAGTGAAGCCGATCTTTTTTCCTCACTTTTTGAAATTAATTATTTATTTTAAGCCTTGGGAATGTTAGTGGAGATCCAACTGTGGAAGAGTAGAGATTCGACATTGGGGTCGTGTCTCTGTTATTGATGATTTGTAGTTTTTGTTTTTGTTTTTCTATCTGCAGATTCTGAAGCACGTATAAATGTTAGTTTGTGATTGGCGTAAGAGAAATGTAATGGTCATTTCTGTTGTTTTTGGTACCCTTGTTGTGGAGTGTGTATTGGTTCCTCTCTGAAATTCGTTTCGGTTGTAGTTTTGTGTTCTAAGTTTAGATTCTTGCTCAATGGAAGATTAGATGGAGTGCCACTACATCTAATTATATATACACGAAAAGACAGCCTCTCTTCTCAATGGTACCAAAGTGGCAACTCCGTAGCAATCATTATGATGAAGATTATTTATTAGTTGCATCTTCAATTTCTATACATGATTGCCTACATTCATCCTTCAAAACATGTCTTATCCTTCCTAATTAAATAAGTGAGGCAGAGGTGGGAGATGGTGACAGACAACGAAAACCAAGATGATGAATGCCGAAGACGTTGGCTACTGCCGAAAATCGGATATTCAAAAATATCATCCAAGTCTGCATTTGAAAGGAGAATGTAATTAAAAAAGGGAGTGAATGAATAAAGTAAATGTTCTTTATTTATTGGTGTATGCTAATATTTTCGTGTTCATAAATCTGTATAGTTGATCAGATGGATGTTTTAATAACCTGCTTTGGCATGTAAGTACTGGGCCCAAAGACTTTGAAAGCTGTTAGAAATTTATGTTGAATATTTTTTATATGAGAAGTTTTATATAGAATTATTATCGTTGAATGAGTGAAAATAAAAGATTGAGATTAACAGTAGAAAAAGAGAAGATATTTACTAAAAAAAACGAGGATTTAATCTTAGCCTTCTACTTTTACTCAACTAACAGTTTTAAATGTAAAACAAAATTTACATTGTGTATGTATATTTTACTCTCTTTTTTATATTTAAATTATGATTACTGTACGAATTTTCCAAGTTTAGAAGTTGTAATATGTATATTTGAGGAGGATAAATGCTCGTGAAACTGTTTTATTATTATTGCAGGAGGGGACTATTTTATAAGGAAACTACTAAATTTTTAAATTTATTTTTACAGAGATTGATTAATTGATTCACAATGAAACTTCTGGCATCCCTTACTCGAATTTACCTACCGGTGCTATGGTACTAGTGGTTTTAGTGTTGGGTCCTTTGCCTCTCAAAACTTGCTTCTGAATCACCAACACGGAATCTACGCTAACACTATCAGCAGATGAAACATAATCCCCGATGATCCCCAGCTCTTCTTGATTCTCTGTCCAAGTTGACAATCCCTCCAATAGACTCGGATTTATCTCTTGTTTCCTCCCCACGATCCACATATCATAATAATTCTCTTTCGCCATTTCCAATATCGCTGCAACTGTATCCGCCCCATTCCTTACCACCAACTCTCTGTAACTCACTCTATCGTTTCCTTCGTTCTGAACCCAGAATGAAGTCATCAGCCCATCATCCATCTTCTTTTGCATTTCATCATCTCCTTTACTGTCTGCTGCAAGAAACCTTATTACTGTCAAGGATAAACTAGGGTTCTCAGCCATCCTGCTTGAATAAGATAGAGCCTCTCGAGAATCAGGTCCTCCAAGGAATAGCACAATGAAGCTGAATGAAGCTTTTTGTGGGAGTTGCCATCGCTCGGCCTTTTCAACAAGAAGCCCAACAGAGCAAGGAGCATTCTCCAACACTTGGATGATCACGGACTGATTCCCGCCACCCCACTCCTCTTTTGTCGCGATCTCTCCGTCGTATTTCTTCTCCAAAGGTAAAATGATGATAACGGACTTGCTTAACAAAGCCAGCTTGCACACATCCTGATACATTGTTGCTTTTGTTGTGGAAGTAGTGAAAAATTGGAGGTCTACGCAGTCTTCTATCCCTTCTTGATACAAGTTTAGAGCATGGTGGATTGTTCCCCAGTCTGGAAACCTAGTGACGAGCTCTTTAAGTTCCTGGTTTTGGTGGTCTATGAATAAAGGGTTAGCACGGCCAATGAGCTCCACGAGATGAAATACGTGGATGGAGAATGGGTTTTGAACAGTGGGATAAGAGACTTGAAGAAGGCTGACAAGGCTTGGCAAGTGCCTTTTGTCCTTGATGCACACTAGTATCCTTAGATAGTCATTCGGAGCTGTATGTTGAATGGTCCTCCTTTGGTTTACCATGTAAGGCTTTGAGGGATCGTACAAAATGCTGATCAAAGGTGCATGAACTCCCATTAGAATTACTGTAGCGAATACCATCATTGAGAAACCTGGTACCCCGATTATCTGCTTGTAAACATCCAATTGTTTAATAAATATATAAGACGAAATGAAGTGATGCAAGACAAAGAAAAAAGGAAGAAATTAAATAGCAAACCCAACGCACATCTTTGTCCACCCAATGGACGTATAGAATAAGTTCCGCATGACCCCTCATGCTCAAAATAAGGCCCATAGCAAGGCTATCTCTCCATGACAAACCTACCATCTTGGAAGCCAGCATAGTGGAGATGACTTTGGACAAGTAACCTGAGATAAACAACCCAAACAACGGGCTCAAGGCAGACCAGCTGGCTTCCTTCATTGCATAAAAATCAGTGGAGAATCCAATGTACGTGAATGAACAAGGCAAAATTATTTCCATTATAATTGTCTCGCTTTTCTCCACCAAGGTTGCACCTAACGGTGGTCCGTCTGGAATCACCATTCCTAGCCAAAACGAGCCGATACAAATGGCTAAGCCGATCATGTCTGTAATAAACCCCAACACAAATGCTGACAAGAAGATGGCAATCACGTAAAATTGTTCCACTGGTTCTCCATCTGGAGTGTTTTCGATGATCAACAACATTAGTTGTCGGACAACAATGGCCAAGAATGCTGTAAAAACCATCGAGGATACCAAATACAAGACAGCATTATGTACTGATATTTCATTTTGTTTCATTGCCCCAAAAGCCACCATAAAATTTAGCGCAATGGTGTCGCTAATTATTGTTGTGGACATTGCCATATTCCCAACCTCGGAGCTAAGAAGGTTTAGTTCTTCAAGTACAGTATAGTGAATGGGAAATACTGTCACTGACAGAGACAAGGCAATTGCTTCAATGGAAGCAACTTTTTGTAGGTTTGCGTCCATTGATTTTCGAGTACTAAATCCTACAATGCTCGCTACTGCGAGAGGTATGAAAACGCTTGGGAGGGCAATACACAATTGTTTTTTTCCCGATCGTTTTAACAAGCCCATATCCATTTTCACTCCACTTACGAAAAGAAATAACATCAACCCCATTATTCCCAAGTTTTTCAGCAAGAACTCGGATGTAAGAGGAAACACCATGCTCACAAACATCGGGCTTTGCGCCATGAGAGACGGTCCAAGGATAATGCCGCCCTTGAAACCATGAAATCATCAATGACAGACCAAAATAACTTACTACTGGCATCGATCATATATATATATATATATATATAAAAGAAAAATTATAATTCAAAAAAGAAAAGAAAAGATACTTACTAGTAACTGAGAAACGAACCTACACTGTCTGAGAGGCCTGAGAAGAAAATGAAGGCTTCGGGAGAAGAGAATGGTCAAGATTAAAGAAACAAGGATGACATTGAAAGAGAACTTAACCGGCTTTCCTCCATAGAAAATGCTATAGGGATTAGGTACTTGTGATCTATAGCACATCAATGGATAGGCTGCAGTTCCACGGTTGGCAGCCTGAAATTTGGCACCTGTTGTAATTCCCATGGCGGGCGGACTACCGGTAGCCTTGTGAATGGGTTACGTACGGGCAGGGGAAAACTTAAGCATGCAAGAAGGGCTAGTATCCAAGATCAAGGGAATTGTGGATGACAACTATGTTTTGGGGATGAAAGGAAATCCATTTGGTATTGAGAATTGTCCTTGACAGTGGCGTGCATTAAAATGAGGTTTGAGTGTTGTTTTATTTGTTCTATTTCTATATCTATACAAAAAATGAATGCAGTCTCGAGTTTTGTGTATCTTTGTTTTAGATGAATTGTAGGTGCCTATATAATTTCCTATACATTCGTTCATGCAAGCATGACATGAGCTTCTATTGTTAGGTATGAATCCCTTATTTCTCTTTGATTTGGTGTTGGAAAAGGAAAATATGTTGTGCCCACAGATTTAATTGTTGTTTGCATCAAGTGCGATAATTTTGGTAATTTTGTAGAGGACAGGGCGCCGTGGATACCACAGGACAAGAGGAAGCAATGAGAATTGAGAAATTAAAGGCATAACAGCTACAAGTAAGGCGTCTTTTATGCTTCTGATGTGCTTGGTTAGTTGATATATATAGAGAGAACGCACAATGGCCAAAGAAGAAAATGCCACATCCAACCCATAGATTGGATTGGACTTTGAAGTTGCACTCAGATTCCAACTTCAAATCGACTCTCTATTATTAACAATAAAATAAAACATCTTTTTTACTTTATAATTAATTGGTTTCTCTTATATTGATAGTACAATTAAGATTATATTAAAAAAAGTTAGTGAGGTGGAAGATCAAATTATCTTCTTATTATTTGATCCATATAAAACATGTTATACATTGGAAGAAAAATCAAAGAGTGAGCCTTGTTTATCTATAACAAATTTTACTTCTATATTGTTTATTAATTAAAATTTTGAATAGATGAAACCACTGAATATATTTCATATAATATATAAGATAAGTTACACGTTTACTATTTAAATTATTATTTTTATTTTATTTTGGTACCTAAATTATATTTTGTTTCAAAATTATACATAACGTTTAATTTATTATTCATTTTGGTACTCCATTGTTAAAAATTTAATTGCTATGTCGACGTCTCATCATAAGGTAATACTACATCATCATTGAAAAAAATTAAAATGTCATGTCAATAATTCTATTAATTTTTGAATAGCGGGATATCAAATTGAAACTTAAACCAAACACTAAGTATGATTTCGGAAAATATATAATTTATCCTAATAAGAAAATAATTCGATCATATACTTTCTGGTCTACTGCTGAATTTGACTAGGCAAAGTATTGTTGTCGTGCTTTTATAATGACGAGACTTTGTACCCGCTACGCGGGTTAAAGAATAATTATATAAAGTTTTCATTTTGATTGTATTAAATAACTAGACTTTAATTAATAAAACAATAACTATACTTTAAGTAAATAAATTTAAAATTAAACAGAGAAATTTTAACATATGAGATAATTAATGTAATATAAAAAAATGTGTATATACTAATAACATGACAAAAGCAAGAATTGAAGTGAGGAGGAGTGGAACAAAAGAACAACCCACGCATAATAGTAAAAAAAATGAAAATGAGTGATAGAGTAACAATAATAAAGTTTAATCGGGTAATAGTGGTTATAACATATGATAGAGTCGATTAATACTTTTGATGAAACGTATATTTACGCTATTTTTATATTTTATAGATAATATTTGACATCTCGACCCCGTAAATTTTCTAAAATAAAATATTTATGATTTAGATATCGTGTGTAAATGTTTACATCATGAGATATTCTTTCCCTAATATAATATGAAATACCTTTTAGATAACCTAACGTCGAATACTTTGAAGCTAATGCTTATAATAATTAAGCAAATAATAATATAGTCCTTTGTTAGTGATGTGCATCTTAAATGTTATTTGTTGGTGGATGTTTGTTTGTCTTTATTGTGGTCTTGTCGATAGTGGAGTTTCTTATTTTTCTCATAATGTTAGTCGTTCTCATGGTATACTTGAAAAAAACTAATAATTATTTATTCATTTACTAGCGATGTATGCAACATACGATATTCGTCCGGAAATACTTGACATGTAATCAACCTTTATAATTATATAATATTATATCGCTGAAGTATAGAAATATATTATTATTATGCTTAAAATAATAAGAAAATAGATATGTTAAGTGTCTTTAAACATCCAACTCCTTTGTACTATTAAAAACAATAATAACAAAGGCAGGTAGGTCAGGTGTCTCTAAGTATTGATTCTATGTGCTCTTTAACAAGGATTTTTACAAATATAAATAATATCTATAATCCCTTTCCCTAATAAACTTTGTTGTCGATCATGGTCTATTTCCATTGATCATATGTCATCGTTCGATTTGCTTTTTATCGTCGTTTAAAAATAATTAGACGAACGCACAACAAGGAAGAAACTATTTAATTCAAAACAAACTAATAAAACCATACCAGAGTTGAACAAATACAATATCACAGTTGGAAGTTAATGTGAAAGTTTGAAGACTTATTGTTACTGCAAAGAGGAAGCAAAGAAAGAAATGTGTCAAGTGAACGTTGCTGTAGTTGCAGTAGTAGCAACACCAGCAGTACCGTTGGGTCCTTTGCTTCTCATAATTTGACTCTGAATCACCAACACAGAATCTGCATTAACACTCTCAGAAGATGATTCATAATCCCCAACTATCCCAAGCTCTTCTTGATTTTATGTCCATGTTGATAATCCTTCCAACAGACTCGGATTTATGTTTCCTCCCCAAGATCCACATATCATAATATTTCTCTTTTGCCATTTCCAATATTGCTGCAACTGTATCTGCCCCATTTCTCGGCCTTGTCAACAAGAAGGCCAACAGAGCAAGGTGCGTTCTCCAACACTTGGTTGATCACAGACCTATTCCCACCACCCCACCAGGGTTTCAAATCGCAGTCGCGGTCGCGTTTTCGGTTACTTCGGATTTACCGTGATTGCGTCCGTTGCCAGTGCTATTGCTGCCGTCGCGGACGCTATTGCGGCCGTCACGGGTAACTCGGACGGCGGCGAAACCACTATATCACGGTCGAAGACCGTTTTTTAAAACCCTGCACCCCACTGCTTCGTGACCGCGATCTCTCCAGCGTATTTCTTCTCTAAAGGTAATATGATGATAACTGACTTGCTTATCAAAGCGAGCTTGCACACATCCTGATACATAGTTACTTTCTGTTGAAACAGAGAAAAATTGGAGGTCTACGCAATCTTCTTTCCCTTGTTGATACAACTTTAGAGAATGGTGGATTGTTTCCCAGTCCGGGAACCTAGTGACAAGCTCTTCAAGTTCCTGGTTTTGGTGGTCTATGAACAGAGGGTTAGCTCGGCCGATGAGCTCCACGAGGTGAAAGACGTGAATAGAGAATGGGGTTTGAACAGTTGGATAAAAGAGTTTAAGAAGGTTAACAAGGCTTGGCAAGTGCCTTTTGTCCTTAATGCATACTAATATCTTAAGACGGTCATTCGGAGCTGTATGTTGAATGGTCCTGCTCTGGTCTACCATGCAAGGCTTTGATGGATCATACAAAATGCTGATCAAAGGCACATGAATTCCCATTAGAATTGCGTTCCCGAATACCAACATCGAGAAACCTGGCACCCCAATTATCTGCTTGTAAAAACCCACTTGTTTAATAAATAACATGAAATGAAGTGAAAGAAAGAAAGAAGAAATTAAGTAAGAAAACACAAACACACATTTTTGTCCACCCAATGGACGTATAGAATAAGCTCCGTATGACCCCTCATGCACAAACAATACCCATAGCAAGGCTATCTCTCCATGACAAACCTACCATCTTGGCAGCCAGCAGAGTGGAGAGGAATTTAGACAAGTAACCTGAAATAACCAAGCCAAACAGCGGGCTCAAAGAAGACCAGCTGGCTTCCTTCATTGCATAAAAATCAGTGGAGAATCCAATATACGTGAATGAACAAGGCAAAATTACTTCCATTATAATTGTCTCGCTTTTCTCCACCAAGGTTGCTCCTAGCGGCGGTCCGTCTGGAATCACCATTCCTAGCCAAAACGAGCCGATACAAATGGCTAGGCCGATCATGTCTGTAACAAACCCCAACACGAATGCCAATAAGAAGATGGAAATCACGTAAATTTGATCTACTGGTTCTCCATCTGAAGTGTTTTGGATAATCCACAACATTACTCGTCGGACAACAAAGCCAGCATAAAATTTAGCCCAATGGTATCACTAATTATTGTTGTGGACATCACGGTTTAAAATCACGGTCTTAAAATATGATAGCGCCCATGAAATAGTGGTTTTGCCGTCGTCCCAGTTACCCGCTACACCCGCAATAGCGTCCAATAGAACCCTCGACGGCCACAATCACGGTAAACTCGAAATGACCGAAAATACGACCGCGATTTAAAACCGTACATTACCATATTTCCAACCTCAGAGGTAAGAAAGTTTAATTCTTCAAGTACACTATAGTGAATGGTAAATGCTCACCAACAAAGACAAGGCGATTGCTTCAATCGAAGCAAGTTTTTGTAGGTTTTTTGTTGGGATTGCTGCAAGTACGATTAATTTCCCTATAATCAGATTAGTGAGAAAGCGAAATAAAAGCGAAAAAATAATATCCGAAATTGATAATGGAGTTCAGCCAATTTTGCCTACGTCTCCGGACTGTTGTAGATCTTTTACTAAGATAGAAAATTTACAGGTGTTTACAAAACAATCACCACTCACAAGAAAACTCTCTAGTATTGGGAGAAAGAAATGATTTGGGATGATTTTGAAGCTAAATGAACTAGGGTATTTATAGTTGAAGCTTAAGGTCTAATCTTGTAAATACATTAAAGTGTGCAGTGGCTAAAATATAATTATCCATTTTTAATTTCAATAAAATATTGGGGCATCGAATTCGGTGCCCTCTTTGCTGAAATTATGCTCCTCCCTTTGTTGAAAAACTCATGC